GACAGTGACAGTGACAGTGACAGCGACAGTGACAGTGACAGCGACAGTGACAGCGACAGTGACAGCGACAGTGACAGTGACAGTGAAAGTGACAGTGACAGTGACAGTGACAGTGACAGTGAATGTGACAGCGACAGTGACAGTGACAGTGAATGTGACAGTGACAGCGACAGTGACAGTGACAGTGACAGTGAATGTGACAGTGACAGTGGATGGATTGAAGCAGCTGCTCAAAACCTTCCCACACACATGTGGCGCTACTGACGATAACAAATCCGATGACGTCAGAATAAACACGAGCCTACTATGTATGCACCTACTATGAATTAGGATAAAGGCATCATGAACGAACGACGATGGTCGGTAAGGCAAAAGATGCGTATGAAAATGTATCAAATGACGCATACCAGTGTGACCATTATTCTGCAGGTCAAATTCCATGGATTTCATCTTGTAATATCCATTAAACTTGAGCTGCACCAAGCTAGCGTCGAATTCTGCATTCTGAATGTTGATCGGAGATTGAGCGTCCCCTTTGCAATCTGGGTAGCCAATACTCCACTGACTAGTATCTAAATGGTTATAACGATGAACACATTTACACAATTATGCATACATTATAAATTATACGCATACTATACAAGCGTTCCTCACATGAATCATGCGTAGTGACATTTTAATCAATTATAAATTGATTTTTATAAATAGGTGTGAGTAGTGATATTGTTGGAAATAAAAGCCGACTCATTTCGAAATCAGATTGTTGCCGCGTTGCTATGGTTACAGGCATCCTTAGTCAATCCTTTCCAGCTTTCTTGCCGGTTGCAGGTCTTATGCACCGAATTCGTGTTTTCTTGTTCTAACTTCGTGCAACGTAACTGCTTGCCTAATGTTTGCGCGCAACTATTTATAACCTAGACGTTTGTCTAGTTTCTTAGCCATTTAACTTAGAAAGGGTCACAAAGATTATTGCCAAGCAACTTCTTCGTTGACTCGTTGGGCCAAGCATATTTTAAATACTAAAACCTCATGAGAACTGCATATAAATTTATAGGCCTACTTTGCAAATAAGATTTCAGTGTAACGTATTTATGCAGATTTGCTCCATTTAATTGGGCAAATCTTAACTGATCTCAGCGACATGAGAGAGAAGGTCTATACTTGAGGGATTAGTACTTACTATCGTAGTTCCAGTGCGGGATGGTAACACGATAAGCATCTGCAACAGAAGCAGTGACAATGATTAATCATCATGAAGCCATATAACCCGTTTGCCTCGTACACGCACGCACGCACGCACCCACCTACACACACGCACCCACCTACACACACACACACACACACACACACACACACACACACACACACACACACACACACACACACACACACACACAACACACACACACAC